TTCCACGAATGTCATTTCAGCTGCTCCTATCTCGCAGTCTCCAAGGTGACCACTGTAGCATTCTCCTCAGTCTGCTAGGACCAGTACTTCTCCACCTCCTCTTGGTTATTCCAAGCCAACTTATTATACTGGGCCCAGATATATATCAAGATTTTGCTGAGGTCCTGAGGACAGGAGGCATCCAACTTCATGGTCAACTCAGAGTTGGCAGTCTGGTTTTAGACCATTTACATCCTCCTCTTGGTTCTTCATGAAGAGAAGCTCTTCCTTTAGATCCTTAATCTCAGTCTCCAACTGCAGTTAAATTATATTGGTTGCAGGGGCCTTTCAGAGCCCATTGGTGTCACTCTTCACAGACTGACACATGGCCATCTCCATTTAATACTTAACTCTGAAGTCATAAAAAGCAAGATGGGTATTGTCAACCTGCAGAATGATATAGGCATTGTCCATAGAACTTGCAAAAATATGAGTTCTCAGGTCCTTGATGGTCTTAAAATAGCCCCTAGTCTCTGACTTGGTGTCCCTTTTTTTCTAGGTGTCCCTGGATTCTGCTGGCCAATCTCTGATTTTCAGCCTCCAGGCTTCTCACTATATCCATATAGCAGGCCAGGCTGTCATTCAAGCACTGAATAATCTCCTCACTCTAGTTGCCCCCTCTGCCTCCAGACCTCTGGACCCCTGACCATTCCCACAGCCAGGCCTCTAAACTCCCAGCCACTCTGCATACTGGTGAAGTGGGACATGGGGATCTAAGAGCCTTAGCCCCCAGTACCTGCACAGATGCTGGCCTTGCTGCTTGCTGGGAGCTGGGCAAGTGCAAGAAGCCCAGGGTCCAGTAGTTTTTAGAGAAGCTGGAGCAGGTCCTGAAGCACATGTTGTTCAGGGAGGAAGGCAAGAGGCCAAGACTCAGGTTTGAGCTACCTGGATGAATAATTTTCCCCTACCCCCAAACCTTGTATGTTATATTAGACCTATCAGGCCGTTAAATTATTAAAGTCAAAACTTCATAGTCAGGGGTTAGAAATCTCTCTATCAGAAAGCAGAGAAGGGAGAGAGGTTTCTACTGTGAATAAGGTCACAAACTGAGCACATACAATGTCTGTCCAGAAAAAGTTCCACCATTGTTAATATTACAGGAATGGTTTACACAACACTGATATAACCTGCCAGCCAAGAGCAGTGAACTAGAAAGCTCATGTTTGAACAATGATGACTTCACTAGTACTAGTCAATAGAGTGGTAGATGCCATTGAGTAAGCATGTGTACTGTGTGGCCATTGCATTCAAAATGACTGAATAAAGTAACGAATCTGCATCAAATTTTGCATTAAGCTTGAACAATCCCCTGTAGAAACTATTCAGATGATTCAGAAGGCTGCAGCCATGGGCAACTGCTGACTTGCAGCTTGATCATGGTAATGCACCTGCTCATGCACCAGATCTCATGCAGTTTTTTTGCAAAACATCAAATCATCCAGGTGGCTCAGCCCCCCTGGAACCCAGATTTGGCACCCTGCAACTTCTGGCTTTTCCCAAAACTAAAATCACCTTTGAAAGGGAAGAGATTTCATACTGTGAATGAGATTCAGGAAAATATGATGGGGCAGCTGATAGTGATAGGGAGAAATGTGCAAGATCCCAAGGTGCCTACTTGGAAGGGGACTGAGTTGTCATTGTCCTATGTACAATGTTTCTTATATATTCTTCAATAAATGTCTCTATTTTTTCATATGACATACCTGGATATCTTCTCTACAGACCTCGAATACACTTCCAGTTGAATGCCTGTGCCCAGTGGCAAAGGGGGTTCCCCAAGCCCACAAGGCTGTCTTAACTTGAACTGCCTGCTCTGGCTGCCAATTAAGAAGTCACTTATAGAGAAGAATTAAAAATTACTTCAGAGCCAACATGTAATCCTATACTAAGACATGGCTTCCACATTGACCCATGTATACCCCTGTCCACCACACCTTCCTATTATCACCCCCCTGTCTAGGCTCCTGGAGTAGTCATAGGGCAGTAGATAATAACAGTGATATGTTGGGCCAATTTCATATTTCCAAAAGTAAGGATAGTTAAAGGAGAACCTGGCTCAGGGTTTAGACCAAGTATCCAAAATTAAAGCTCTGTAGTGACAGGCAGAGGGTGGGAAAAGCTGATGAGGTTTCTACAACTTGTGTTACTGTCCTTGTGGTATTCCCAGGACCAGCATCATGAGCATGTGACTCAGACAGTTGCACAGGGCTTGGGCTTAGAAAGGCTGCACACTTAGTTTAAGGTTCTGTTTTTACCATCTTAAAAGTTTTAATAATTTTTTAACAAGGACCCCACAGTTTCATTTTGCTCCAGGATCTAAAAATTATATCGCCAGTCCTGATTATTTCAGCTCAGTTTTCAGCAAACTAAACATCACTAGTTATTTTTAAATACCCTGCATTGAGCCTTCTCTGCAGTAAATTCAAGTTGATAAACTGAGAGGCACAGATCACAAATGTCTATGGAGATCACTGTTTTCAGTGTGCAATTGTTGGATTTCCAGACTGGGATATTCTTCACCAAAACTGAAAGAAAAAAATAAGGAAGTCTTTACAAATTGAAGGTCAAGATCATGGTTAAAAAATAAAACTTTAGGCCTGGCTGGTGTAGCTCAGTGGATTGAGCATGGGCCTGTGAACCAAAAAATCATGGTTCGATTCCCAGTCAGGGCACATGCCTGGGTTGCAGGTCAGTTCCCAGCAGGGCACACATGAGAAGCAACCATACATTGGTATTTCTCTCCCCTCTCCTTCCCTTCCCTTCTAAAGATAAATAAATTAAATTAAAAAAATAAAACTTTAAGTAAAACATTCATCTCTGGCTTGAATGCTGAATTAAAACATATACTTACTGCTATGAAAATATTTCATCAGTCATAACACCAATGGCTGAAAAACACATGTAACCTGAAAAATCCCCAATCCATTGTTTATAAGAGGTAAAATGTGGTAATGTGGCTAAACTGCATTACGAATCAACTTCTGGCAGTGATATAATGAAGTAAAGAGAGGAATTTGGATAATCTGATGAATATCACTTTTCTCCTTTCTCCCAAAAACCTTACAGATATGTTTCTGTAGAGGCCTGTCTGGTCCCTTATTACTTGTCAAACTTTCTCTGTGTTCTCAGATCAAGCTCTTCTAAACTTCCTCCTCCTCTGTAAAGTTTTCCCTGGTTATTTAGGAGCAATTCAAAGGGTTTTTTATTTCTTTTACTATCTCTTCTTCTTTCAATAAATCTCTGAGCATGTAAAGGGTCTTCTAGCTCTTGTCAGCATTAGAGCCAAAGGGGGTTGGGGCAGGGTAAACAGAGAAGGTGGACCTTAGTAGCTGGGCTCAGTGCCTGGCTGCAGCCCTTTTCATCACCCACAGAGTACTCCTTGTCATGGAATTCACCACCACAGCCTTCCCCACTGTCTTCATTCTCCTCCAGGTCTATTTCCTCCCCTGCCCCTTTACTCTCAAAGATGACCTCTCCACCTACTTCCCTGGGAAAATTGAGAACATCTGATGAGAACTCCCACAAGTTTCCTCCCAACTCTTTGTTTTCTTTGGATCATCACCCAAACTTTCTTCCTTCCCTCCCATCTTGGAAGAAACTTTCCCTGCCACATGGTCAGGTTAACCCCTTCACCTGACTCCTATGATTCAGGGGCCTCCCTTTCATGATTACAGTCTCCGTTTCTCCTTTGTACCAGCTACTTGTCCAATTCCTAAACACATGCTCAAATCTTCTCATCCAAAAAGAAATAAACACACAAATATGTATAATGCTCCCTCTTGATCTCTCCTTTGTTGTACCAAGTCTTGCCCTGAGTCTTCTGCTTCCTATTCTCTCTTTATCCCTCATTAAAACCAGATATTGCCTGAATGCCATCCAGTATGAAGCTTGAAAGTCACCAAGTAGATGGGAACCTCATTCCTTAGTCTCATGTATCTTGGCTCTTTCTCTCTCCTGTCTTTTGAAATTATATTCACAAAGGTCAAACAAAAATCAAAGGCTTTGGTTTGCTGCCATCCTGCCTGCATTCCCAGCAGCACTCTCACCTCTCAACATGGACCCTTGTCTTCCTTGTTTTCTGAGATGTTGTTGTCCTTCCAATTTTTCCTACTGCTCATTTGAAGTGTCCTTCAGGCCCCCCCCCATTCTTCTTTCATCACTTAACAGAGACTATTCTTCCAAATACCAGCCTCGGCCTCTTCTCTGCTCACTGCACTACTTTATACAGTAAGGATTCTCATTGGCTCCCATCCTCACTGTGTGTTTCCCAAAGGTGTATCATGACTTTGAACTCACTCCAAAATTCCAAACCACATCTCTAACACCTGCCAAATACCCCAGCCACCTTCTTAATATCCTTCTAAGTGTGGCCCACTGACTCCTCAAGCTCTAGTTAGCAGAATTGATGTGACACAAGGGACCACTCTGCATAACTTTTAGGAAGTTTCTTATATGATTCTTGCTGGAGGCAGGAACTTGTGTCAGTCTAAGTCTCCACAGGCCTGCAAGTAAAAGCAAAAGATAATTTTACCTGGCTAGAGGAAGAATTTGAGAGAGGGGACAAGGCCAGATTCTGACCCAAAGCAGCCAAGTTGAACCTACTTCTGTGCTTGGCACCAAATGTTGCCTCTCGGTCCTCTTGAAGTTTACACTGTGCAAGACACTGATAACAGATACAGACATCATCCAAAATTAGACAAACATTGCTTGTGCACCAAGAGATAGAAAATTAAGTACTTATTTTGGCTGCAAGTCAAGGAGCAGTGGCATTTCATGAAGCAGGAAGTGATGGGGGTGTCTGGTGTGGGCATAGTGGATTAAGAAAAGCTATGACCTCTTTTCCACTTATTGTTCACACTGTAAATGCTTTACTTCCATCAGTTAAAATGCACATGTGGACTTTGTCCTTCCAACTAGTTGTGAGTTTGTTAAGCATCTGTCTGTGATCAAGATTCACCTACCATTTTAGTGTGAGTGCCTGGATCTGCTTTCCCAATCATGGCACTCCAGGTCCCAAGGTTCTCTTGAGTGACACTCTCCTGGAAGACATCGATGCTGTTTCCCTCCCTGAGTTGGGAAGATTAAGAAGAGTTAATAAATTTTGGCTTTGCATGTGTCCCACCTCCCACATGAGGAGAAAAAAATCTCTCTTTTGAACAAAGGAAAATAAAGGGAAGCTCTCTTCCTCCACCAGGAGCCTAGACTCCCCATCCAGGGCCTCCTGCTAATTTCAGGCCTCACCCTGAAATCAGGGAGGCCTAAGGCCTTAGGATGCTCATCAGCCCTCTGGGCATGATCTGCGGCATTCACAGCTTCCGAGTATCCTAATCTATTCCATATTCCAAAGGGAAAGGTAATCATTCTCACACAAACAGTCACTCCATGCTTTCTTTCCCATTCACATCCGCTTGGAATTGAGAGCAAGAAGGGAATGAAGTTCTGTCCTCCCTGGTGGTGCATGGCTTCAGCCTTTGCTTAATCGAGGCCATTGCTATGGCAGTAAGCCATGTACAAAACAGCCTGCCCAGAAGAAACAGGGAGCTATGAAATTGCCTTATTCCAGCTTAAAAGGAACATCTGATCAAAGTCATGCCAGAGCTGTTAAAAAAAAAGAAAAGCAAGAAGGAGCAAACATCTTTTTTTATGTGTATTGACATAAGAAAGAGAGAAACATTGACACCAATTGGCTGCCCCTCAATACATCACATAGACCCTGCTGGGGATCAGACCCACAAAACCCAGGTATGTGCACTGACTGGAAATCAAACATTTAATCTTTTGGTGTATGGGATGACTCTCCAACCAAGAAAACCATACTGGCTAGAGCATGAACACCTTTAAAATGAACCATTATAAGAAAGCCTTCATGGAGAGAAACATAAATGATTTCATTATGTCCCCCTAAATACCATTTTGTATAATTTTAATTCAAAATTGTATTAGTTTCCTCCATTGAGGAAGCCGGAATTAAAAGTAAACAACCCATTTGGGAAATTTCCAGGGCAAATTTCCAAGATAAAGCAAATACTATTCTCACCATTCGTAGCTATTTGCCTGACTACTACACCTAGATTTCTTAACTCTGCCATATCCAATTTAACAGAAAGTACTTACTCCACTTTTAGAATATCTCCCAATCCAACCCCTGTTTACCTAATTCACTACTACCTTATTTTTTTCATTCAAGATCCAATTATTTCTTGGCTGGAATATCACAATTACTGGTCAATTAGGCTTTCTACTTCATCTGCCCCATAATTCATTCTCCACACCACAACTGGAGAGTGCTGAAATACCTAATTACCTTCCAAAGGCTTCCCATTGTCCTTTGAATGAGATCTAAGCTTTTCACCTAGCCTGCATAATTTTCCTTCAGCTCTTCCCTTCCCCCATATATACCCTCATACCCTAACACTCTCTTATTCCCTATGCTTCAGCCATACTGGCCTCCCATGCTTCCTTCCATCATACCAGTCTCTTTCCCTTGTCCTAGATTGGGTTTCCTAGAAGCATAGCCTGTGATGAAGATCCTTATGCATGTGGTTTATTGAGGAAAGGATCTCAGGACCAAACTGAAAAAGAGTGAGGGAAGCAGAACAGGAAATAGGAAAAAGCCAAGCAAATGTGGTCACCACTGGAGACTAGGCTCTGCCCAATGATCCCATGACTCCGCTTTAGGCAAGGGGCCAGCATCTTATACCACACTATCAATCAGCCACTGGCTGTGGTCCACCCACAAGGGTGGACATAGTGTCAGCCATTCTCCTTCACTGAGGGCAACTGCAGTTGTGAGCAGACAGCAGCCAACATTTACAGCAGCAAGAGAATTGGCCCAAAGAAGGGGATCTAGGCAGGGTATTAACAGTTTTAAGAACTTGTTTTAGCTACTGCTACTGCCTAAAACACTCTCCTTTGAGATCTTCATGTGTCTAGCCTCTTGTCATCAGTGCACCTCAATTTAAGTGTCACCTTCTCTGAGTGTTCATGCTGGGCCATCAAGCTTAAGTAGACACACTGCCCTCCCACATAATCAATCTCATTACTTTACAATATTCTTTTTTATTATCTGAAATAGTATTTTCTATTTAATGTTTACTTACATGTTTATTGGCTGCCTCACCTACTAAAGTGCAAAGTCTATGAGAGCAGGGACCCAGTCTTCACCTATCTAGTGGTAAAGTCAAAAGATTCTACAGTCAGACATCCTGGTTCAAGTCCTGGCTCCACCATTTATTAACTATGTAAGTTTGAACAAGTTAACTTCTGATGGTGCCAGATTAATGGGTCATTGGAGTATTTAATGATTTGATGCAACTAAAGTGCTTAGAATAGTATCTGATACATGGTAATTACTCAATAAATGCTGGCCTAGAAGATGATTGACCAATCAATCAATCAATGAACAAAATATTTTCTGGCAATTCAAGGTGCCACCTTGCTTTGCTCATATGATGTATATCAATGCACAGTGGACATTGCTATGATTTTTACCCTTTAATGCTACACAAATTCTTATTCTCTTCCTCAGCCATCAGTTGACATCCAAAATACCCAAATTATTTTCTGTTTCTTCATGATGGTCAAAACCAGACAGTATTCCCAATTTGACCTCCCTCATTGCAATCTATAGATTTAAAGCTTCAATTTCTTGGGCCACAGCATGCTAAATCTTGAAGGCAAGGCCCTCATCCCCCAACCATAAGCAGTCACTATTCCAACAACCCTTGCCCATTGTTACCCTCAGGCCAACCCTGCCATGTGATTAAATAAACTGACTGCATCAAGAGGAAAGGAAGCATTCAGTAAACTTCAGCCACCAAATGAGCTGTGGTTTTGTCTGTGGCCTGGATGAAATGGGAAAAGGAGCAATTAGTTCAACTCTCCTCTGAAAAAGAGGTTTTATGGGAAGTAGGAAACAGGGGCAGTCATTAACCAAATATAAACTGACCACTTTCTGTAAGCAGGCACTGTAGGGAATATAAAGATGAGCCATGACATGAGATAAAGAAGAATGAAAGACTCAGTTCAAAAAGCATTTGTAATACGGGAGGGGGGGGTCATTTTATTCAACTAAAAAAATTTTTAAGGAGGCTATTGTATTTGTTTTGATTTTTAAAAAGTCTGACAGGATATTTAGGATTTACAGAAAGATGCCAAGAATCAGTTTAAACTACCAAACTGTTATGGGGGAAAACAGACAACATGTTTGTCCCTGAGGAAGGCGGAGGAGAGCAATGCAAAATAAATGAGGGGTCAGGGAGCAGAGGGAAGACAGAGAAGTCATTAACTATTGTCCATTTGTCAATGACCCCAACCTTCTTTAAGGTGCCCAAATCCAACAATGCCTGGAATGAAGGAAGATTTTGTATAAAACAGTGAAGGATCCAGGTTTCCAAACCAGCTAACATAAAGCAACACAGAGATAACACACACCCTGTAGGTTACAGGAGATGTCAGAGCTTAAGGAATCTCAGGAGAACATTGGCCTTTGCAGGCCACAAGATGGGGTTTCTGTGAAGTGAACCCAGATCTCCAAGGGATCAGGACAGCTTAACAAAGAGCAAGGCTCAGCAAACATCTACATGCTCTTGTACTCAAGCAACTGGTACAGGGTACATACTCACATCTCAATGACAATCTCAGTGGCTGTGTTTTACAACATGGCCTCAGATCTTCATCATATACCCAAATCTAAGACAGTGAACCATTATAAGCAGTGGCTGACATCTCAAAGGTAACAGAAATGGGCAGGCTCATGGAGGTCTCCCAACATCTCTTCTATGTATTTTTCCAGAGCGATCTCTCTCACTTTCTAGTTACAAATTCCATGTGTAGTCTAAAGTCGTCAGCCTGGATCCCTCTCTTGAGCTCTAGAACTGTATTGTTGCATATAGTTGCCACTAGCCACATGTGGCTATTAAGCACTTAAAATGCAGCCTGAACAACTGAATTTTTTAATTTAATTTATTTTTATATTTTTTAAAAAATGATACTTTAATTTTTGGAATGCTTTCATGTTTGGAATTTTTTTCATGTTTGAAAAAGTTATGTATGTGTAGCTACTAGAGTCACCATGTTTTTAATTTAGTCTGGAGACCTTACTCAAAGTGGAAAGTTGTGCCCCTTTAAAAAATCTCTCCCTACTCCCCCACACCACCAGTACTTGATAATCATTTTTCTACTTTCTTTTTCTATGAGTTTGATATTTTTTAGATTCCACATATAAGTGATATCATACAGTATCTTTCTCTGTCTGGCTTATTTCACTTAGCATAATGCTCTAAAGTTTCATCCATGCTCTCACAAATGACGGTATTTCCTATATGCTGAAATGGTAATATTTTGGATATATCTGGTTAAATAGAACTAAAATTTATTTCACCTGTTCCTTTTGACTTGTTTCATTGTGGCTATTAGAACACTAAAAATTATGTAGGTGGCTTACATTAAATTTACATTGACAGCATTGCTGTAGAACCATGTGGCCCCATCTCCCCTCCATCTTTCGCAAGTATCTCAACCTAACATATCCAAAATTTATCATTTTTTATCTACCCCACTCATCTGCAACCTCTTTCTCCTCTAGAAATCCATAAATGACTTCTATTATAATATTACACTAGAAAATGTCTAGGAGTTATCCCTGATGCTGAAAAGTCAATACCACCTTCAATACTATATACTCTACTCACTGTGAGGGCAGGGACAATGTCTGTCTAGTTTATGATTGCATCCCTCCCCTGCAAAGTGCAGCAGCACTTGGTAGGCCCTAATAAAACTTTCTAAATGAATAAATGAGCTGACAAATGCATGATTCACCCCATGCATGATTGAGAACACAAAAACATATAACATACTAAAGCAGGGAAAAAACATTCCAACGTGCTTCACTGGAGCTGCCAGCATAGAGGAACAGAGGGAAGTCACAATATCCCATACAAAGACATGGAGTATAGACATAAAAATGAGGACCCAGCAGCTCCCTATGAGAGTCTCAGCAGGGGTAGGGGCTGAGGTGGGGGACAGCTGGAGATAACTAAGGCAAGGAAGAACTGTTCTAAGGATTA